CCGTGTGCAAAATTAGAAATACATAAGACTGTAATTTATTTTGATGAAATATATTTTAGTTTTATTTACAATATAAGTCTACGATAAACCATAGACTTTTGGAAAAAAATCAGAGCAGCTAGGGCTGTCGGCTGTAGCTTTCAGTGCACCCTCACATTGGCCGCTTTCAAAGGTAGGTAGGTAATAGGTTATGTCCTATTATACCCGTCAGGTGAGTATGGCCTAATATTTCAAGTTATAGCTAAAGTTACAGCCTACATAGTCCCACTGCTGGACACAGGCCTTCCCTCATTTCTGAGGGGGTTTCAGGGCAAGGAAATGTCCGCCGTGCTGCCCCAATGCGTGTTGGCGAACTTCACATGTCTACGAATTTTTTTTCTTATTTCTCAGACATGCCGGTTTCCTCAAGATGTTTAACTTCACCGCCGAACACGTGGTAAATCAGCACTTAAAATTGCAATTAACAATTTCATTGGTGCCGGCGACGGGGATCGAACCAGGGCTGCCCACGTACAGCGACCGCTAACCATTTGAGCTACTACGGCTCTATATTTCAAGTATAGCCGACTAAAACCTACCTAGTTAAGACATGATTCAATCAATCATCATCATTATCTTTAAAGCCTTTCAAAAGTCCACTTCTGGACATAGGCCTCCTCCAAGGGACAACAACAATAGTTCCTGTATGTCTAATCAGACTCATTTCATCGGGGGGGGGGGGGGGGGGGGTGGCTGTTCGACACTTGGCGAGATCTGCAACTCGAAAACCTTTCTTTCCATCGGTTGTTCTTCGAACCCCTTACGTCATTTTTATTAAAATAAAAAAATATATAACCAAACACGTTTATTTTCTGAAGCCACGATAAGAACAGGTACCAATTTCTTAAATAGTTGATTCAAATAATTAGTAGCTCGAATAACATAATAATACACGTATTACACAATAACAGTACACTGTTCAAATCAACAAGGTATATTCCAGGCGCTTCGCTTCGCTTAATTTACAATATGGCCGAACACACGATACTCCTAGCATCAGTATTTACAAAACTATATCAATACGGTGCAATTGTATTTACACAGCAGTAGCATCTATAAAATATAACAGAGTATCGACAAATGGCACTTGCTTGGAAGCAGGCACTATAATACTTAGATGACGTTAGAACATTTTTTTAATTTATGTATGTAGATTCGCGGTAATAAGGCCACTTATTACCGCGAACTTATGCCGCCACCAAGGCGGCACCATTTAGGAATGAAGTGAAATATTTGATAGATAATGTGGAAAGTTAAATATTGTTTTGCATTGTGTATATACGAGTATACACTAGAAACCTAAAATAATTGAATTAAATCGGAACTTTTCAATGATGACGACACTGTGTGACCATTAGCTTAACAATTATATGTTCACGTTAGCCAACTAGCGACATCTGGTTAGCGTAAGATTTTGAGCCCTTTTTACTTTTATCTGTAACACTATGTGATGGGAATCGCTTGAATTATGTTTGTACATTATTATAACAATTTGTAACTTACTAACTTACTCGTATAATCGATACTTATATATATACACAATACACAGTGAAATAAAAGTCACAGGTGCCCTACATAAGAGAATCCGTTACCCCATATCGTCCCGTGGGTGTCGTAAGAGGCGACCATGGGATATGCCAGAAGGATCTAATCGCTTCCGATAGATAGCAGAACATCATCTAGTTTACGCTAAGTGTTCAGACCGGCGACAGTGAACATTCACCAAAGGTGCAAGACGCTGGGTACTGCGATCGTCATTTCGCACACGAAGCATGAAAATTAAGGTCAATCCTCCCTAGTATAATGTAATTGTACGTAATATCTCAATGCCTACAAAGGGAGAGGCACATGCCCAGACTTCTATGGACTGAAGAAGAAGGAACTTCAAACGTTAAAACGAATCCGATCACGATTCCCATCAGAGTTACACAATTGCACTGCTGGTTATTCTCATTGTATTATTTTAATTGTAACCTTCAACTCATATTTTATAAGGTTTTCTTTCGATCTCACTCGATGACTCACTTTTCATTAAATTGTAATTCATAAGCTGTGCGTTTCTCTTACATACGTTTGTGTCATTCCAATAAAAATATTACAATTTACACTACAACAATTGAACGTCGCATATAATTAACGATATAGGCAGATACATACATTCATACATAATTTTTGCATTGTTTCGAAGGTAAACAATAGTTAAAATTAATGATTTCTCTACGTTTTAAATTATGATTAAGATGAGTAATAAACTATAAATCAAATTATATAGGTAATATTTTGTTGTAATTATATGTATAAATGTTAAATATTTGTAATTTTGATACTAAAAGTATCTGTGTGAATAATGACCATAAATATAACATAGTTAAATTTACATAAATAAATATAATTTTCTATAATTAAATATTTTCAACAAACCGTAATTAAGTAGCGTATGTTATAATTATCCTATAGCTAATTCACCCTCGCGAGGGTTGGCAGAATTGTTAGATTAAACACTATTGAAGAATGTGATTTGCGCCTAGGTTAGAAGGTAAATAAATTGTTTGACTTCATTTTAATTTTTGCATAATGTAACAATTTTTTTATTAATAGAAGTTGTACCCTGTAAATATTCTTAACGGAGCCGCCGTAGGATTTAAACTTAGAGCCTCAGTTCCCTGTCTATTTATCAATACTTAATTTATTACCTATTAAAATTTGATAATATACAGCTTCATTATTTTTTCGACGGGATTAGTAATGCCGCCATATTTTTATGGCCATTCTTTGGAACCTAAAACTCCATTTTCAATAGTGTATATTCTAAGCATAAAGTGCTTTATCTAGTAGCTTCAAGCCTTTCAATAAAATACATATTATGACAATAACACCGGCATTGAATTTGTTTAGTTAACTATTGCGCTGCGGCTTAGCTGGGACCTGTGTCACGTTTTTTTAAATAAATAAAAAGTTTATAGAGAAAATATTTTTAAAGTAAATAAGAATAGAATTTTATGTAATTTCTCTTTGAATGGTAATGTATAAAAAACAGTAACAGAAAAAAACTTTAAATTATTTACTGTTTCAAACACGTGGTAAAGTCACGCTGCAGATATATTATGGTTGCAGCACGAATAGGTCGGTTTGACCGGAGTAGCATCACGATTTCACAGAATACCAACGTGAAACAACTGAAAAATGCTGTTTCGTATAGTGAGCGTAGAGAACCGGAGACCCTTTTTACTGATAATGAGGCATTCCTTTTTGATGATAAGGAATGAGCATCTACTTATCATCAAGTGGACTGAGTGGTCGCTTCTCACCCTTATTTAAAAAAAAAACAAATCTAGCTGTTTATTTAAACAGAATAAAGAAACTTGGAATAAAGTGTAATATGGACATTGATTAATTATGTTTATAATCAAATCTTTGGTGTTCCAAGCACAATTTATCTACTCATGTGGTTCCAAGAAGTATATGTATAATCACTGCCTACGTTTTAGTAAATACTATCGCATATTTTAAGTCACGAAGGCCGCAGCGCCTATTATTTTTAATTTAGCTATGTTATTACCGTATTAATGTGACATGGTGTTTCTGTTCAGGGGTTTATTGGAAAGTATTTTTAGAGCACATGCTTCTGGAGGTCGTTTATGTAACTTTAATTTCACATTATCTAAATTTTCTGCTTTATCTTATTTTGTACATACCACCAGTCGAATGTTCTCCGAGAATCTATTACGAGTCCATTAATTACGATTTATTTAACAAATACAACAGTTTTCAGTTACATAACCCATATCAACAAAGAAAATTATGTACTTTACAATTGATGCGGCAATACACTTATCGTTAGAATGACACGCACTTAATTGTCGTTCGTAAGATCGTAACCAATGCTCTATATATCTTTCTTTGTAGGTCTAAGTTACCTAATTGATGTCACAGAGCAACACGGGCCTCCGGTTGACTGGAGGGAACTGCAGTCCATGCAGTCCTGTACATATACATATACAATAAAACTAGTTGCAGCGGCACTGCTCACTAGACTATATCTGGATACGTGGCTGAATCGACGTCCTGCAAAAATGCCGAATCGTTCAGTTTTTTGCTGCAAAAAGGAGATCTACCACGTCAAATTTACAAAAAAAATGACGTTTTCTTTCATATTTTAATCACACTATTGCTATTTACATAAAACTTATAAATTACAATAATAACGGTCGTGTTGTTTCGGATTTGTTTACCAATACAGGTCACTATTCTTCTTCTTCGTAAGCGAATCCTATCTACATATTTTATTTGTAAGCAAATAAAATATGTAAATCGGACAAGCGACTGATACCGTCTGTAATCTGTATCCAAGTCGTCGCTGTCACCGAGCAATACTCGTAGTGTTATAATATATCTATGTGTGTGTGAAATTGTAATACTTAAATTGTATACCGTTTCAATTCTTATGTGTGATTTCGCAGTGACAGACGATTGTTTATGTTTGCACAGATTTCCTCTCGCAAAAAATTACAGACCGTTCTTTATCGGAAAAAAACGCTATGGTTAATTCCCTCCGGTCCGCCGGTGGCCCGTGTTACTCTATGATTGATGTTTACTTAGCGCTGTAAGATATTTCGTAGTTACTGTTGGCTGATGATACTCTGGATCCGTTTTAATTTACTCACGTCTTGTAATAACATACAGCAGTTTTCAACACGGCGAGCTTACAAAAAACTTTTATCAAACACTAAATCACTTGTAAAATGTACAATTCACAATACCGTCTAACAAATTATTATATTCAGTTTACAATTTAGTAATTCTTCATTCTTCTAACTCTTCAAGTGTTTACTACTCTTATACAGTTCTATAATTTCCTTTTGGTTATTTTTCAGGGTTGTCTACATCCAAGCAATGGCGGGCGAGCCGTCAGAGGATAGGGAGTTTAAAGACCGTCGGTTGGTCGTCCCCCGAACCTGCTGTCAGTAAAGAGACGAACTCGAACATGGCCCGTCTACTCCCTGAAGTTGTTGCTCCGAATTTGTTATTAACTGAAATGTAAACAGAGAATTAGCTTACAACTTATCTATTATCATCTTTTTTTCAGTCATTTATTTAGACCTATCTTAAAATTGGTTTGTACTCAATTGGTGTCCTATGTATTTATCGGTGTAAACGCTGTCCACCAATATTTTTGGTTCCTGCCATACGAGTCTGGAGCTTAGAGCAGAAACCAATTTCTCGTGATCTCTTCTTTGTTATTGTGTTTCTTTCAATCTAGTCTGTTTATATTTTATTACCACATTTTTATTAATTCGCTTTCGTGTGTCTGTTCGGGTCTAATTTAGTAATTGATTTTAAACTAAATTCCTGATGAGCTAGAGACTTGAAATTTTAAACATAGCTCAGAATGACAATGTAAGAATATGAAAATGTGGTATATTGTTATATGGATATGGTCATCTCCCTATATAGCAAAGATTTGCCACGATAGTCACGTTTGGCAGGTGAAGTGTCAGCTGTCTCACACTTTTGCCGCTGATCTCCGTCGTTGTGAGATTGCATTTGCCGCGTGGTTGTGAAATAAGAAAATCTATAACCCAATTTTATCTTGTGCGTGTCGTAAGAGGGCTCTGTGGAAATGAAAGAGAAGGTATACCATCACGTTTAACTTGATGTAAAATACCCATACTGGTTCCAGGAGGCATTGTCAAAGATACGAGAAGTCTGGTACTGGATCTTCAATCTGCTTGCCGAGCGTGAGCATTAAGGCAAACCTTCCGTACAACGAAAAAAGTCCGTTATTCATGTCTATCAAAGTTTGATGACGATGAAGAAGAAATGTGGACTAAAATATAAGTTTTTATTAGACAAAATATGCGTAGGGTGCAGTCATAGATGCGATACGCCTAAGTGCGTTATCGTGGTTCTAATCTACTTACCCGATTCATCATCATCATCATCACTACAGCCCTTCACAACTCAACTGCTGAACATAAGGGGAGGCCCCCAAGGAATGCCACAAAGCACGGTCATCACTCCATCTTTTGGAGAGACACCCTACACTTCGTCCGCCGGTGCGAGGCTGTCACTCGAGTACCTTTTTCCCTTTGTTATTCGAGCTATATGGCCGGTCCACTGACACTTCAGCTTACAAATTTTTTGGGCTATGTCGGTAACCCTGGTTCTACTGCGGATATCCTCATTTCTAAGTTGGTTGCCACTCGAGAACCTTTTTTATCATGCAGAGAAACCCCGAACATAGCCCTCTTTATAGCTCGCTGAGCAACCTTGAACATTCTCATACGGCCAGCATTGAAGGACCACTTTTCAGTTCCATAGTTCATCATTGGCAACCATCACTGGCAATACGCACTGGTTGTTCAGTCTAGTTTTTAAGTTTTGAGGTATGTCTGACGAGAAGATGTTTCATAATCTCCCGAGTTAAATCCGTCGATTGACCTCTCGGTCGAAGTTGGACTTACCTAGTCGGACTATTCTAAACTTACCTAGTCGGACTATTCTAAACTTACCTAGTAGGATATTCGTCAATAACTTGGAGCTTAGTGCACCCAACAACTACCAGCATAGGTGTCACATGGACGTTAAACATGATTTTTGTTTTGTCCATGTTCATCTTAAGACCTATTCGTTTGGTGACACTATTGAGGTCATTGAGCATAGTGCTTAGGTCCTCCAGCGATTCTACCATAAGGACTATATCGTCGGCAAATCGAAGGTGAGTGATGTACTCGCCATTGATGTTAATACCGTTTCCTGTCCAGTCCAGTAGCTTGAAAACGTCTTTTAATGCAGCAGTGAAGAGTTTCGGGGATATAACGTCACCCTGTCTTACACCTCTCTGCAGTTGGATATGTTTCGTACTCTGGTTCTGTACTCGGATAGCCATCGCAGCCCTACTGTACAAACACTTCAGCACTTCGATATACCAACAGCCAACTTGGCACCGCTGAAGGGACTGCAGCATGGCCCAAATTTCGACGGAATCAAAGGATTACTCATAGTCCACATACGCCAGATATAATGGCAAATTGTACTCCTCAGACTTCTGTACAATTTGCCGAAGAGTATGTATGTGATCTATGTGCTAAAGCCTATCTTTGAAACTTTTTTTTGAAACTTTTCTTTGAACTGAAATTAAATCATTATTATTATTATAAACTCATACTTCTCTAATTTCACAAACGGCGGGCAGCAGCCCATCGGTGGAGTTATTTGGAGAGCGCGGAGAAGGCGTGGGCGCGTGCTTCGGCAGATCGCGTCCGGCCGCCATCTTGTCGTGCAGTTGCGCGAGGCGCATACTCATCTGCCGCCTCTCCTTCTGCTCCCGTTCCCTCTCCCATCTCTTCGCACTGTAACTCCTTATCGACGATGAGCTGCTCTGGACTGAGTTTAGACTTGGACGTCGCGAACCTGTTGAATGCAGATGATTCTAGACACGGCTAGAAGCAAAAATATCGTGCGTTTTAGTAACAGCGTTGCGTAAGCATATACTATATATAATTTTTTAGTTTAAAATATTTTAAACATCCTTTAAATTACAAGTGATTTGGAAAGCGTTTTGTGCTGCATAAAGAAATACTTATTGTTCATCAAATAAAAATATTCAAGTAAATAGATATTGAGAAGTTTAATCATAAATATATGAAGTAAGCCATATTTGTAAAGGCGTAATTGAAAATTATAAACCAGATTTGATGAGAGCGGGTAGCGTGACCTTGTAAAGCCTGCGCTAGTAATTCTTAGTTCGTGGTAAAGCCCAACTTCTTCGCTTCTCCTTCGAGGTGCACAATATCGGAGTAAGCTACGCAATAATAAAGCTACAAATATTTTGATAGTTTAGGAAAATTTATTTCAATATGAGATATGACTTTTGATAGATGTTAATTTATACGAGATATGATTGATAAGTACTACTTAGGAGAGGAAAACAAAATTGTTCGTTAAACTGTTTATACAAAACTCTTCTTATGTGGCACATGTTGACTATACTAAGACTGTATAATGTCTGCAGGACGTCACTCGTGTCAGGAGGACACTCACAGAATAACATCTTAAAATAGCAGCATCATGCTGATGTGAGTGACGATAGTCGGAGACTGTTTTAATTGGCAATGAGACATTCCATTATAGTTCTAACAACGCATCTGAATTTTGATTCTCAGTCGAGGATAGATATCTCTATGTGATGAGGATAGATATATAGATATATATAGATAGAGTCGAGAGATAGAGATATCGATAGAGTGCCACAGCGTCCATTTACCAGCAGATGGAGTGTTTACTAGTTTGGCACGTATATTCATCACCGAATATTGTACTGAGGTCTTCTCCTGCTGATCAAGTTATTTAAGATCTTGTATATTGAATGGTTACTTCGCCGTTTATTGGATATTGCGAGATTTTGTGACTTCCCTTAGTCGACATAGTCACAAACACAGGATGAAAGTTTTTCTTAGTTATCTTTCAAGAAATACATTAAAATACAATACTAGAATATATCCCATATCTACTCTAAACACTGTTGTAACTAGTAAATACATCATTATCAAACCCAATTTATAAAATAACGTTTGACAACATTAAACTCACTCTCTTTTTTAAAACAAAATAGCAGAAACATAAAATTGATATATTAAACGTCGGTGACAGTAGTGTGATGGTCGGTAAATCAAAGCAACGGCCACATGCACCAATACCACCAACACTGTGGAATTTAACAGTCACAGAAGCATCAAGCAATCGTGCAAGTGAAACTGAAGCTTTGGCTCACCTTTTTTAACAAAACTATAGGTATTAGTGTTGTGCTAAAGAGTTATGTGATTTTGATAATTTTTCTAAAGGCGAATGAATATTTTTTATTTAGTCAAGCTTAATAAACCTATATTACCCAATGTATAAATTGTTTCATAATATATAATTTGTTTCAACTTGTCAACAAAGCTTTATAAATCCCTTTATAAAACCCTCATCGTATATACAAAAAAAAAAAAAACCACAGAACTCTGCTGATCAGTTGATTTTACCATAAGATGCTCTTGATTCTGATAAAAATCTGGTAAAATAGCATTTAAGCGATTTAGCCGTAAAGCATATGTTTTGTGTACAAATTAAATTAATGTTTCATTTTAATAAATAGGTTTAAGCATACATTATCATGTTTAATTGATTTAAAATATTACTTAATGAATAAGGAAGAGTCGATGTAATGATTTTCGAATTGAAATAAAATTAACTTTCCTTACGGTTTGTTGTGTAGACGCTGACGACACAAGGTTTACAGTCTTCAGTTTCATCAATATACGAATACATACACATAATGTTACAGATCAAGTGACTGTTAAGGTTTTATTAACTTTGGACATTTAAAATTGTGCAAGTTTCACTGATACTTGTCGAATTTTCTAGTCAAAATTTTGAGTACAACTGACTTAGCAATCACTTTATTCGTAACATGTTTAAACAGAAGGCAAATAGCACATACAGGAGAAAGGAACGCACGGCACGGCCACCTTGCTCGCGCCACGCGAAGTTCACGTAAGGTTTTGCGACTGACACCACACCTTAGCTTTATAACATAATTTTTCAACAGTTTCCAATTAGTCACACGCCAAAGCCACGAAAAGCCTCACATCAAGCGACAGTATTTAACAATTTATTGCAGGCGGTTTTAACAAGATTGTACGTTCAATAAAATCTGTAAGAAACTTTAAAAAAATTGGACCAAGGATCAATAGTGAAATTATTTTCATAATAATGTTTGAAATGGATATAATATTTGAATGATAAATTAATTAAAAATACCTGAGTAAACTCTAAAACATTTAATTCGAGATTGAAAAAGATTTTGTATAAGATAGAAATTATTAAAATTAAAAATTAAAAAGGGAAATTGATCAAAAAGGACGCGTATAAACGACCACAAAATGAACTGTGCCTTTTTAAAGGATCTGGTCTCAATCTCTCTTCGGAGAACTAGTCGTATGCGCATGATAGAATTATAGTACACGAATATGTGTGTGCATAAGTGCAATCTCTATTCCCTCATTCTCATAATCCGATGGTATGGTAAACGTACACGATCGAAGAGAGATTATGTGAATGATTAACGGTTTTACGTACTTTCCAAGGCAAGGGATCAAACACCGCCAACTTCCGACTTCATGGTGCTACTGAAAATTTCTTGACTGAAAAACCCTATTACTGATTTTGAACCAAGGATCGGACCCGGGACTATATGATCAGTGGTCGCACTTACGGCCAATGAGGCAGTCAATGAGAAAGTAAAGGGGATATAAAGTTCTGGACACACCAGTGCCGCTAGCAACAACACGCGACATCTAACCACACCAGCGACGTGCGACGCATGCGACATCAGCGGCCTCTCCTCGAATGCCCAATTTAATGGTTTACGTTGTTGTTTATCATAGATATTTTAGGGAAATTTCAAAATAACAAACTATAGTTTTTGGCAACTGAAAAAAAAAAACATGTGTAGTTCACATGCAGTTGAAGTAAAACCTTCAGAAAAGGAGACCAAGATAATAGGAAACACTGTATACTGTATTTTATCTCATTCTTTCACAGGCTGGATGTATATTTTTGTCTCTTTTTGGTGTCGCTTTTTCGTTTCATCAAGTTTCATATCACAACTATTCTAAAGAAATTTTCACTTTAAAAAAAAATATCTTAATAATATTCAAAAATAAAGTCCAGTATGTATATATGTATGTCTACGATTGTTGTTTTAATTTATTTCATATATACTGATACTATGCTATCATTGGTGCCTCTTTTTAATTTTTTCTTAATGTCGGTTACAAGAAATTCGACAATGAAAATGGTATTTGGAATATGCAATAAAATATTTGAAGTTTTCTTTTACCCACCATGGAATCAGGAATTAACCTTCATTAGGAACACAGTTCATTCCATTAATGATTCCATAAAGACGAGACTAATGTTTATTTTGAATATCAATGATTGTTTTGTAATTCTGGAACATGGATGTATTGACATTGTCTCCATATCTCAGATTAAGTTATTTTCAAATTTAACCATTTCACTGTTCCGTAAGTCATATACGAACATTTCGATTGTTCAACTACTGTCTCTTTTTCGCGGACAGGGAAGTCGATAATAACCAGGTAGAGATTAGGCATTCGAGGCGGCCGCAACCCGCCCACAATCGTGCAGTAAAGGGCCGCGCTGCATACATCATCCGGATCACCTTTGGCGGCGCACTTAGGCGGGTGCGCGCCGCCGTCCCTTACGGCCTTCAGGTGGCGCGAGATTAGCAAGATGGCGGCCGCGCGCGCCGCACCTGCGCGCGACGCGTTGCTGCCCCGCGCGCCCCCCGCACCCCCCGCACCCCTTGCACCGTCCCCCGTGCCCGCCGTGCCCACCGTGCCAGCCGTGCCGCTCGTGCAGCCACTGCGCGAGGACGCGCGCGATGACACACGGGTCGCGCTCACTGTACCACCTGCACAATGCACGCACACCGATAAACAAAACATTGAAGTCACACTTGTGGTACTATCATATGTGGTAGAGCCACGCTGCAGCTATTTTATGGTTGTAACACTAATGGGTCGGCCGAACCAGGGTAGGATCACGCCCTCATAGAATACCAGTTTAATACTGCTGTGTTTCATATGGTGAGTATAAAGAACCGGATACTCTTTTTGCTAGAAACAAGGCATTCCATCTTAGTCCTTAAGGGTAGCAACACATCTGCATTTTGATTCTTAATTAGGGTAAATGTAAATGTCTATTGGTCTCAGCATCCACTTACCATCAGGTGGACTGTGTGCTCGTTTGTCACCCATATTCTTTAAAAACATTTAAGTACAATGTACTGCTTATGTAGGAGCGACGGGAGTCGTGAACAACTTTGACTGGAAAATGTACATGAACATTTGCGCATGTACATTTTCCAGTCAGTATGCTGCAGGCGAGTGAATATCCAATGATTGACGAAATTTTTAAATGACGAAAAAATTAATTAATGCACCAATAAACACGCAAAATGTACATATACCCATAAGTTAAGATATTCTCCTAAAATCCTTAATATCCTACGGAAATGTCCATTAAAACTTAGAGTTATGTAAAAATTTAGACTTTGGAAGACATTACCCTTATAGCAACTTCCTACAGAAAAGTTTTTTTTTTTATAAAATAGAAGTGACAAACGAACATACAGTAAGCCTGATGGTAAGTAGCTATTATAGCCCAAGGGTTACTGCAACCAACTTCAAACAAAGAAGACCACAGATGCGTTGTCACCTCTGATGAAAAGGATGGAATCTTTCACAGCCTGTAATTATTCTGGCACCCTGTACCCTTCAGGCCACAGAAGTGCATTTACTGCTATTTGGCGGCAGAAATATGTAACATGGTCTACCTAGAAGTTAGAAAGTATCGTAAGGTGGCAAGTCCATACCAGTATCATTGAGCGTGTACAGGCAGGGCGGGGTGAGCCTGGCGTCTGCTAGGTGTGCGGGGTGATAGCGCGCGCGCGTGTACAGGTGCAGCACCATGCACAGCAGCCCCGCGAGCACGAAAATGCCCGACGCCACGCCCAGCAGCTTCGGCATGTCCGTCGTCAGCAGCACCACGTCTGCAAGTATGTGATATAGAGCAGTGGTTGCCAAACTTATACAAATTAGACCCCCTGATAAAGTGTTTTTATAAAGTTGACAAACAAGCACACAGTCCACCTGATGGTAAGTGGATGCTGTGGCCCATAAACAGTTACATTTATCCTCGATTGAGAATCAAAATACAGATGTGTTGTCACCCCTGAGGACTAAGATGGAATGCCTGGTTTCCAGTAAAAAAGTACGGTTCTCTACAGTCACCATACGAAACACAGCAGTATTAAGCTTCTATTTTACGCTGGTATTCTGTAACCCCGTGGTCCTACCCAGGTGGAGCCGACCCGACCCATTTATACTAGTGGCCCTACCACGTTCCCAAACTTATGAAAACCCCCTGCTATAATAGAAATTATTTCAGATTCTCTTGCCGCATTTAGATATTTATCTACTTTTGAGTACTGGGAGTTTTTATGAGAGTAAAGTGGAAGGACGAGCAGGTGGTCATGGTAGAGCCACGCTTCAATCATTGTCGCAGTACAAATAGGTCGGCTCGACTGGAGAAGAACCAAACTCTCCCAGAGTACCAGTGTAAAGTAGGGGGCTTTTACTGCTGCTGTGTTTCGTATGGTGAGAGTAGAACTCGGAATACTATTTTTACTGGTAACAAGATACTCTGTCTTAGTCTTCAGAGGTAAAATCTCATCTGCATTTTGATTGTTAATCGAGAAAAGATTGGTTGTAACCTTTTACCCTCTCATCAATAAGCCTCTTAGCACGTCTTTGCATTGAGTTCAAAACTGCTAGGTGGTATTTTGCAGCACCGACACATATATGGCAGCATTTCTGTGTACGCGACCGGACTTATGTACTATATATATATATATAATATATATATATATATATATAGTATAGTACATAAAATATATATATATATATATATATATATATATATATATATATATATATATATATATATATATATATACAATTTAAGCAACTGTCCCGGCGTGAAGTATGTCGCACGTTTTCAGGCACCGCCCAAAGTTCAGGTTCCGAAAAAACTCAGTCCCTAGCAACTGAATGCGGTCGGTGAATATTTCAATCATACATTTCGGAAAGGAGGAGCTAAGTTGTGCTGGCTCCTTTCCGCGGTGAAGAGACACGCTTGTGTTTTGGAACTGTTGAATTTCATCTAGATTTCGAGATTGGCATCATGTTTTAAGAAACTGTATACGTGAATTGTCGCTGCCGCTGGAGACAAGAGAGCTGGTTCTTTTCTCGCACACAGGCTAAGCATAGCCACTCTAGGGCTTACGATGATAAAGTAAGTGAAAAATAGATTCTAATTCGGCTTTAAATTATAGACTAAGAAGAAAAAAAAAACGTTACCTTCTGTGCAAAAGATCCTCGGTACCGGGCGCGAGTGGCTGGTGCTGTGGTAGCCCGGCTCGCACTGGCAGAACGCGTTGTGGTTGATTTGTACGCAAGTAGCATGAGGGTCGAACGCGTGGCACGTCTGCCGGTAAAAGCATTGCTCGCCCAGCTTCTTTGCTGAAATGTAACGATGAGTAGGTTAATTTCTAGTTAGTTCTTGATTTGTTGGATTTATGAGCCTGTTAGTTTAAGCAATTTTATTTAAAATGTTTGTTTCTCAATCTTGGCATGCCGTGATAACACGTATAAGGATTATGTCTTGTATCACACTATTATTATTGTAAGCTATAGCTTTAAGTCGTGATGTAATCTGTTGTGTTGTCCAATAAAAAAATAAATAAAAAAATTGTTTTGTAGACGGCTCAGTAATGTTTAGGCGTTTAGGTACGGCAATGCGGTTTAATTTCTGAAGAGAGCATAGGTATTTGTAAGACCTCGAAATATAAAGACAGAAACATAATTATTATGTGAAAAACATACAATTAGGAAACAGAAAAGAGTAGATCATTCATCATCATTCATCATTACAGCCTTTCATAAGTCCACTGCTGAACATGGCCTCCCCCAAGGAATGCCACAAAGCACGGTCCTGAGCCACTCGCATCCATCGACTTCCTTCATGTCTTACCAGGTCGTCACTCCATCTCGTGGGGGTCGCCCTACACTTCGCCTACCGTTACGAGGCTGCCACTCAAGAACCTTTCTTCCCCATCGGTTGTCGGTTCTTCAAGCTACATGGCCGGCCCACTGCCACTTCAGTTTACTAATCCTTTGGGCTATGTCGGTTACTCTGGTTCTACTGCGGATTTACTCATTTCTAAGTTTATCACGCAGAGAAACCCCGAGCATAGCCCTCTCCATAGCTCGCTGAGCGACCCTGAGCTTCCTCATACGGCCAGCAGTGAAGGAGCACGTCTCAGATCCGTAAGTCATCACTGGAAACACGCACTGGTTGTACAATTTCGTTTTAAGGTTTTGAGGTATGTCTGACGAGAAGATGGTCGTAGTTTCCCGAACGCTGCCCAGCCGAGTGGAATCCGTCGATTGACCTCTCGGTCGAAGTTGGACTTACCTAGTCGGACTATTTGTCCCAGATAAACATACTCGTCAACAACTTCGAGCTTAGTGCTCCCAACAACTACCGGCATAGGTGTGACATGGACATTAAACATGATCTTTGTTTTGTCCATGTTCATCCTAAGACCTATTCGTTGGGAGACACTATTGAGGTCATTGAGTATGGTGCTTAGGTTCTCCAGCGATTCTGCCATAAGGACTATATCGTCGGCAAATCGAAGATGAGTAATATACTCGCCATTGATGTTAATACCGTATCCTTTCCAGTCTAGAAGCTTGAAAACGTCTTCCAATGCAGCGGTGAAGAGTTTCGGGGATATAACATCACCCTGTCTTACACCTCTCTGCAATTGGATAGGTTTCGTACTCCGGTTCTGTACTCGGATAGCCATCGTAGCCCTACTGTACAAGCACTTCAACACTTCGATATACCGACAGTCAACTTGTCACCGCTGAATACAGCACCGCCCAAATTTCGACGTAATCAAAGGCTTTCTCATAGTCCACATACGCCAGACATAGTGGCAAATTGTACTCCTCGGACTTCTGTACAATTTGCCGAAGGGTATGTATGTGGTCTATGGTGCTAAAGCCCTTTTGGAAACCGGCTTATTCGGGAGGCTGGAAGTCGTCAAGTCTGCACGCGAGACGATTTGTAATGACTCTTGAAAACAGCACGTAGACGCGGCTCAGAAGGTAAATCGGTCTGTAGTTCTTCAAGAGAGTGATGTCACCTTTCTTGAAGAACAAGACCACCGTACTTCTGCTCCACGCCTCCGGTGTAAGCCACCATGGAGGACGGAATTAAAGAGCTTCTGAAGGACTTCAAGTACCGGTCTTCCACCCGCTTTCAGAAGGTCCGCTGTAATTCCATACTCGCCTGGGGATTTTCCGTTTTTAAGGTGCTGGAGAGCCATTCTAATCTCGCTCAGATTGATATCCGGGATATCTTCGGAATAGTGTCGGATAAGACTCGCTCTTGGATCGTTACTCACATTTGCGTGTGGCTCCAACGATGTGTTGTACAGCTGCCCATAGAACCTCTCAATCTCACTCAAAATCTCAGGTGCCCCGGAAACGATACTGCCACACTCAGTCTTCAGCTTTGGCAGTTGGCTCTTTCTGGCAGACAGATCTCTGGCAAAGACTTTGGAGCCTTGGTTCTGCTCCATCGCTTCTTCAATACAAGCTGTATTGAAGTTGCGTAAGTCCCGCCACATGCATTCGGAGATCTGTCTGTTCAGTTGCCTGTATGCTGTCAAATCTGTTGAAGAATGTAGCTTCATCTCCCGTCTAACAGCCATGAGATTGAGAGTGTGATCGGAAAGTTTTTGTGTTCTTCTGTGGCGGGTCTTGCAGAACTTAGCTCCGACCGCATGTACAGTTTCCACGAGCTTGTCATTCATATCGTCCACTTTATTGTAGTCTTCTAGGCACTGAAAACGGTTTTGTAACTCGAGCTGAAAGGTTTCTGGACTTTGGATTAGAGCACGAGGGGGACGGAGCGTTGACTTCATTAGACGAGACCTCTCCAACTTAACGTTTAGGTTCAGTGTGCCTCTAACCATTCGGTGATCGCTACCAGTTTTCACCCTCACGATCACGGAGACATCACTGAACAGTTGTCGTCTGGTCGTCATAATGAAGTCAATCTCATTTTTTGTCGAACCGTCGGGGCTCGACTAGGTCCACTTCCTGTGGGGCCGCTTCTGGAAGAAAGAGTTCATCATAAAGAGTCCCTCGTTCTGCATGAAGTCGGCCAGCTGCTGGCCCCTTGGGTTCCGTTGCCCTATTCCAAATTTCCCTACTTTCAGCTCACCGTTCTCTCTTGTGCCTAGTTTTGCATTGCAGTCTCCCATTAACACCGTATATTGGGTTTTGGAGGAATAGATGGCTCTAGAGATATCCTCATACATTTCCTCCACCTCCTCATCGGGGTGTGCCGAGGTTGGTGCGTAAACCTGTATGACCTTCAGCGAATACCGTTTGATGATTCTGAGTATAAGGTACGCAACCCTCGTCGACACACTCCCAATCTTTACAACGTTGTTAACGAGAGACATGTGCATGATAAATCCGACACCTCCTTGGGACAGATGGTCGCCCTTCCGGTGATAGAGCAAGTTGCCGGATTTGAGGATTACCGTGTCCTCCCCCTCTCTTCGGACTTCGGATAATCCTATAATATACCAGCGTAACTTGTCTATCTCTTCTTCCAGTTCCACGATCTTCTCGTCAGTCCTCAGGGTGCGTGCGTTGTATGTTGCCAGGTCGAGTCGTCTTAGGTGGCAACCGAAACTCCACCGGAGATTCGACCCCCTTCCCCGCCGTTACCATGGTCGCCACCGTAGCCAGGAATAGCGGGGCCGCCGGGGACTGGGGGCCGTTTCTTTGTTACTCTCATCATAGGGGCGGTATTTGCTATAGTTGCCACGCTTGGCGAGCGGGTTGGCAACCGCAGTTTTTTTATTGTAAGTTTTTTGTTATCAGGAAGATGCTGTTGCCTCTCTCCTGCCTGTTTTCCTTTGTCGCCTTTTACGACACCCACGGGACGATATGGGGTAGTGGATATTCTTAACCGCCACAACACGGCTAAAAGAGTAGATGCATAGAAGAAATAGTCGACTTTTTTTGTAGAATCAGGATCACAAAGGAGCACGCAGTCCACCTGATGGTAAAGTGCTTGCTGTAGCCCATAAAAACCTACATCTATCCTCGATTAAGAACGAAAATGTATTGTTGTCACCCCTGAGGACTAAGATAGAATGCCTCGATACCAATAAAAAGGGGTTTTTGGTTTTAAACTACACTATACGAAACAGCAGCACTAAGTTGTTATTTTATGCTGGTATTCTGTGAGAGTGTGGTCCTTATCCAGTCGAGCTGATCCATTCGTGCTGCAGTAGTTGTAGCATAGCTCTACCACGTTATTTTGCAATGTTAAAAAGGATCTCGCCCTGGTGATAATTTGTGACGTAACGCAGTATCGCATTAATACTAAAAGAACTCTATCAATACCTAACAATAAAAAAAACGATTTCTCCTGAAAATCCTTAAATTAAAATTTTCGAAAATACTTAGCACTCGTAATACAATGGCCAAAAAATAAAAACAAGGGAAATAACGACAATAAAGAACAAAAAAATTATGAGGCGTTGCGGCGCCGCGGTTCGAATCGCGTAAGAATCAACATTTGTATGGCTTACTATTATTGTTGTAAGTCTGGATGCATGTCCATGTTCAATTATGTTTTTAAATTGTGATACAAGAGAAATTCTGAGTATGGAGGAATGTTTTTTTTAAATATAAAATATCATCCGGCTTTGGTGTTTTATTTGTCTATGAGAAATTTATATGTATGTAAAACGCTTTCACAAACGCAAAATAGGGGGTATTTTGAACTATATACTGTTAGAACTATACACCCTTGTTTATACACTTCAGCTTAGTTGGTGTGATAAGATCATAGTTTATAATTATATACTAGAAAATTAAGACTACTCTACTTCCATTTTATTATCATCTTATATTGTATATTATAATCTGTACCACCTTAGCTGTAAATAAACATTTTTTCATTTTCATTTTCATTCATTTATGATCAACGACACAAATGAACAGTTTCAAGTCCCCGGCGGCCTCGGCTATTCCTGGCTACGGTGGTGACCATAGTAACGGCGGGGCAGGGTGTGTTAAGAATCTTCGGTGGAGGTTCGGTTGCCACGTAAGACGATCTCGACCTGGCAACATATAATGCAAGCACCCCGAGGACTGACGAGAAGATACTGAAACTGGACGAAGAGATGAACAAGTTGGAATATTATAGGATTATCCGAGGTCCGAAGAGAGGAGAGGACACGGTAATCCCCGAATCCGGCAACTTGTTCTATCACCGGGAGGGCGATCTGTCCCAAGATCTTTAATTTATCGTCAACAACGTTGTAAAAATTGGAAGTGTGTCGACGAAATTTGCGTACCTTATGTGACTCAGAATCACCAAACGGTATTCGCTGAAGGTCATACAGGTTTACGCACCAATCTCGGCACATCTCGGTGTTAATGGGTGATTTGAACGCAAAACTAGGTACAAAAGAGAACGGTGAGCTGAAGGTATGGATTTAGAGGAAGGACTAAGGAGCCAGCAGCTGGCCGACTCTTGGAGTAACGATCCAAGAGCAAGTCTTATCCGACACTATTCCGATGATATCCTAGACGTCAGTCTGAGCGAGATTAGAATGGCTCTCCAGCACCTTAAAAACGGCAAATCCCCGAGCGAAGATGGTATTACAGCAGAACTTCTGAAAGCGGGTAGGAAAACCGGTATTTGAAGTCCTTCAGAAGCTCTTTAATTCTGTCCTCCATGATGGCACTACTCCTGACGCATGGAGCTGAAGTGCGGTGTTTTTTTTCTTCAAGAAAGGCGACAACGCTCTCTTGGAGAACTACAGACCGATTTCCTTTTTAAACCGCGTCTAGGTGCTGTTTTCGAGAGTCATTACGAATCGCCTCGCCTTCCAGCCTCCCGAACAAGCCGATATCCGAAAAGGCTTTAGCCACGGGTACTCGTTCGTCATCATTATCTATTCTATAAAAAAAAAACACATGATGCTATTATCAATGACTGAATGTCGTGATTAGTTATCGTCTGGAAATTCAAAAAAGGCTCTTAATTTTTTGCACTAGGCGAGGAATTAAAATAATTTTTTTTTCAAGCAAGCTACAAAATTTCTCTATCTTGATGAGTTGTGTATCGAAAAGGATAATTTCGCAGTGGCCCCATACACATTTCAAACACATTCCGATTAAAATTGAATGACGCCTGTTTTTTGCAAAATGATTGTCGAAAGGAAGTTTTGCTATTCGTTTTAAGCAAGTAATACTCAGTATCAGCGAAGTGCTGACTAATTTATTTAGTTACGATTTTGGGTTTTAAGCGTGGCAACTATGGAAAATACCTCATATAGGGTCCCTATGATTAATCTATGGGGAGGCCAATGTTCAATAGTAGACTTTAATAGGCTGTAACGTTAATTTTTTAGGTTTTAAAATAACCGTTGATTAATAAATAAAATCACGGACGTAAAAAAGAAAAATAAAAAGTTTTTAATAAGTTAGAATTGGTAATTATAAAAAAGCTGAACATTAGAATTCTATTACGTTGTTAATAATACTGTCCTACTGACCGTATTCTAGTTACGGCGGTCAGTCTCAATGAAGACTAGCTATTTGTGCAGGACAGGATTATAGTGCCCGAGCGCATGCGCAAGCACGCGTGCACTCTCTATCTTTGTTAACACTCTCATAGTCCGATGGAACGGTAATCAGATACGATCGGAGAGAGATTTGTTACAGAAGCAACGGCTTTACGTTTCTGTTCTGTAATCTCCTGACTCCGTGCTCCTACTGAGAACTTCTGGACAGAGAGAGCTAATAACTGGTTTTTCGATTCGTACTTGGGATCACTAGAGCAGTAGTCACACAATAACCACTAGCCCAACGAGGTAAAATTCCACGTAATTAAATAGATAGAATATACACAGAAAAGTAGTTCCTGCACAATATACAGAGATAAAAAATATGATAAAAAAACGCGTGTTTTACTTCTTTAGCGTAACAAAACAAAAATAACTAAAAATAACTACCTTAAATGTAGTTATCAGTTCCCACGACAACTTGAGAGACAGTTATCCAATGAAGTTGTCGCTTTGCGGTGTCAGTGTGCGTGCGCATCGTAACAACTTCATGGTGTCGTTTTTAGCTGTCGGTGTGCGCGCGCATCGTAAAAAATTCACTCTCATAATTTTCCCAAACGCTTGGAGCGTACAAGTATAACTTCAAAAACTTCAAAGATTAAAGTTGTGTTGTATCTACGCTTTCTGGAAGACCGGATGCCAACAGCCTTTCATGGATGAAGTAGGTCGGTACTCACGTTTAGCACAGCCCTTGTCAACACCGAGCGCGACTGGGTGCTTCGGATCGCACTGGCAGGACAGCGTGGACGGCTCGCAGTACACGTGCTGAAGCTTCGGGTTGCACGTGAACTCGCAGGGAGAGCCCAGGTACATGCCCTTTTCTGTAGACAATATGTAAATTTAAAACAAAATCGGTCAGATTTCTTATATTTATGCGAACACTATACTAAATTAAATTAATCAATTTTTACGGATTTAATCGCGTTGAATTTTGCAACGCTGCGAAGAGATATTGCAACTTTTTGCATTTTCTATCGCATTTATCACGGGCAGAGCTATGAGGAATTGTTCGGATTAATTTCATCCGCCAAATTTTACCAACGCACAACAACGACAAAACTCATCTTATCATCCACACCATCGGTATGTTTGGCGGCCCACTACTGTGCGATTTACTAGGAGTTTTCTTTTTCGCAGGAATTATGTGTGAAATTTTTTACCACACGAAATTTCTCCGGACCGATAAGATTTAGGGACGTTCAAGAGACGAGCTTACTCCTCTTTAAAAGACCGCCAATGCACCAGCAATTTCTCTGGCGTTGCCACATGGTGTTGCGTAATGGGCGGCGATCGAAACGAAAAAGTCTTCTATAGAAAAGGGCAATAAAACGAAGTAGATAATTTTATTTTGCCTAACAATTTTATGCTCATGTATATACGATGTAGAGCCATGGTGCAGCTATATTAGTGTTAGTATAGATAGATAGATAGATAGATAAAGTATTTATTTGTTTCTCCAATCACACACGTAAATTCAGTAACTAAACTAAGTACAAAGTAACATATTACGAAAAAAATAATTTACAAAAACTTAAAATCTAAATGTACATGCGTGTTGCAGTTTGACAAATGGGTCCTAGCTCAGCGATTAATATTGCTCAGAGAGCAAACACTGATTTTCAGCTATTACCCTCGAGATGACGAGAAGAAAATGAGCACAATAGTTAATCAGTGTAAATATGTATATTTGAAAGATGTGTCCTTTCAGCCCTACGATTTGCATCCTGGGTTTAATTTAGTAAAATTACTGAAGGGGCGTGTAAGTGTGTAAGTTTGCGTACAAATTGAAAGTAGTACCTAAAAGGCTTAGACAGCCATGATGAGTTAGTAGGAACAAAAAAGGTAGTATAGATGCAGTGCGAGTGGGTCGGCTCGACCGGGAAAGGACTACGCTTTCACATTCTGTGAGAGCCTGGTCCTTCCCCGGTCCGGCGTAAAATAGTAACTTAAATCTCTTGTATTTCGTATAGTGAGTGTAGAGAACCGGAGACCACTTTTACTGGAAACGAGGCATTCCATCTTAGTCCTCACGGGTGACAACGCATCTGCATATTGATTCCTAGCGACAACTACTTACCATCGGGTGGACTGTGTGTTCGTTTGTCATTATCGTATAAAAAATATTCTGCAGGTGGGAGAAATTTTTGTGATTTGATTTCGAGCCGTTTGAATCGGGGGCCAAAAAGTTAAAAGTCGAAAATTCTTTATACAACTATGATAGGCCCAATGGCCCCGGGGACTGCCCCCCCCCCCCCCCTTAGCCCTACGATAGCTATGCCACTGATAAGCTCATTACGTCAAATAATTTGAAATCGCTAGTAACAGACAAATGGAAGGACACAGAACACACTTGCCTATATCTATACAAATAAATAAAATTGAAGTGTCTGTTTGTAATGTCAAAATTACAACTTTTTACTAATTGCATATGAAAGTACGAGTATATACGATATTTATAACAAAAACACAATTATTAAAATTTTTGTCTGTCTGTTTGTTCCGGCTAATCTCCGAAACGGCTGGATAGATTTTGACGGGACTTTCACTGGCAGGTAGCTGATTTCATAACGAGTAACTTAGGCTACTTTTATTTTAGAAAAAGAATAAAAACATAAAATCCTAACACGCGAGCGAAGTCGCGAAAGAAGAAAAAAAGCCGACGTTTAGCGGGAAAAGTTCAATCAAAACAATAACAAAAGAAGTGATCATTAAGAAATCATTCCTTTTTAGATGAGCTATCTCGATTTTTCTTTTTCATGGAAGCAACGTTAGTACTTTGTGAATTTCTTGTGCGCTTGGAAGCGGGAAATTAACTACAATGGTACCCAGAATTTAAAAGCTGTAACTTACAAAGTCGGTGACAATGTAAAATAATCTTTATGTTAAATGTTGATGTTACGTTTTACTTTGTGCCCAATATGAAGAGTTGTTTTACTTTTTGAACTATTGAAGAGGTGTTCAGAAAAGAAAAGGTTAATACATAGGTACAATATTGTGCTGTAAGTTGACATAGCATCAATACTTAAATGTTTATTTACTTTTACTGAATTTAATCGATCTCGATCGATCAAAATTTTCAGCCGTGAGGACTAAGATGGAATATGTCTCTCTTCCAGCAAAAAGGGTCTACGGTTCTCTACACTCACCATACGAAACACAGCAGCATTAAACTGCTATTTTACGCAGCTATTCTGTGAGAGTGTGGTCTTTCCCCAGTCGAGCCGACACATTCAGTACTACAACTATACAATTAATATAGCTGCAGCATGTCTCTACCACGTATAGAGTCATGATTGAAGAGCCGTGGTACAGGGGCTAACCGTTTGCCGTAAATTTCACTGTACGCGAGCAGCCTGGGTTCGATCCCCGCTGGCACCAATGAAATTGTTAATTGCAATTTTAAGTGCTGAATTACCACTTGCTTAGCGATAAAGGAAAACCTCATGAGGAAACCTGAACGTCTGAAAAATAATAAAAAATATCACAAGGACAAGTTAACCAACACGCATTGGGACAGCGCGGCGGAAACTTTCCTGTACTGAAAACTCTTTAAAACTTCTTAGGAAAGATGAGCTCAGCAGTAAAACGTATATGGTATCTATAACTTCAAACTTTAATTACACATATAGGGCGATGCCTGTCTTTAGATTTTGTTCAAGTTAAAATATACCACTTCAACACTTATATTCTTTACGGACCTTGATGTTAATGATAATGAAGGTAATGTTGATCAAAACGAGGAAAATGACTGTTGTTGTGTCCAGCGTGTTATTAATATAATAGAAATAGAAATGAGTTCGAGTCAATTTTATAGTTGCCTTTTCAGTCTATTCACACCTGTAACTTATTCGATGCAATGGCGACTTATTAACTTCCTTCTGCGTAGCATTGAAAGGAAGTTAATGGTTTTAGCTGGCAGTCTGTTAGTCTGCATGCCGACACGATAACTTCCGTTCCACTGGACCGATTGAATTAAATGTAATTTGGTATGTGGATACCTTGAGGTAGTAGCTCGGTCGAGTTTGAATTTGGGTCCTGCCGGTCAAAGGGCACCAGAGATATGGGATTCACGCAGAAGGAAGTTGTTTTTCTTGAATTTACATTCAACTTGTTTATTCATATATTTAATTATTTATTTACCTTAACTCAAAAATTTATAAAGTGCGGAATTAATGTCTTTTAGCATTGACTTGTCCCTGAGAACTAAGATAAAATGGTTCTTTTCCATTTAACAAGAATACGATTTTCATACTTAATCAAATTAACCCTTGGATAGTAAAGAAGTCTTTCCGGCTAGGAAAAATCTATAACAAGCTTAATAGTTAAAACATTAATTAAAAACCCGACTACGTTAATTTTAGCGTGTAGTGGCAGTGAATAATACGCACTATTCCATATCATTCCGTAGGTGTCGTTAGAGGCGACGATGGAGGGATACAAATCAGGACATGGGCAGCAGCGTCTTCCAAATAACGACTAAAAGTAAAAAACGATTTGCAAACCGCTTATCAAGCGTGGTAACTATGGCAAATATACCTCCAATAAGCCAATTTATGGAGGCCTTTGTTTAGCAGTGGACTTTATTGGGCTATAACGGTAACGGACTGCGTTAAAAAGTTTATTGAAAAAAACCTTCCCCTCCGATTTTTTTTTGTATTTGCAGATGCATTATCTAAATATTATATAGCCTATGTATATGTTAAAATTCTTCAAGCATTTTAGACTACAGAGCGTGCCAAAAAAAATAGACATAACTACATAAATACTCCTAAAAAAGAATACCCTCCTTCTGGGACAATCGGGTAATTTTTTTATAGTTCTTTTATTATAGAGTAATAAAAAGTAAGATCATTAATTTATTACACAAAGTCTAACAATTACACTGCAAAAAGTTTGAATGCAAATATAAATAGAAAATACATTTGCATTTAATATTTTTAAAAGAAAAACGTTTTCTCTAAAGAAAAGACTCGCAGAAAATATGAGCAAATATTTTCATTAACTCTTTATTCACACTTCTAAAAATAGAAAATTGTGTTGTATCTCAGTAATTAGGGGGCATGTTTTTCAATGAACCAGAATGAACTTTCTCGAATGGTTAGTCTAAAGGAATTGAAATTCTGACTTCCCGATATTCTCTTTACTAAGCTTTGTTTCAAAGCTTCGAGGACTTATTATTACTATTATGATGCAGATCTTCTCTCCATTATTTTGTAAATGAGGCTGCCTACCATCTTTGTAATGTTTTTTCAATTATAATTTATGATAAAATAAACTATGGTATTTCATCGTTATCATCATCATCACCACATCCCTTCACTGCTGAAAATAGGCCTTCTCAAAGGAATTCCACAAAGCACGGTCCTGCGCCACCTGCATCCATCAACTTCCTACATGTTTTACCAGTTCGCAACTCCATCTAGTGGGTGGCCGCCCTACGCTTCGCCTACCGGTACGAGGCTGCCACTCGAGAACCTTTCTTCCCCATCGGTTGTCGGTTCGTATTGACAGTCAGGCAGAACAGGCTTTGAGTCTGGGAGCCTTTTAGGTTATCTATTGTACTATTTGCTCATTAGCCTCATTCAACTGTAACTTCAATGCAGCAATAAACCTGAGAGCTTCTTCATATTCCCTGCTGCATTGGTCAAACTCATTAAACGTTCCCTGTAGCTGATCACTTTCTTTTATAACACTTGTGTCATCTGTATGTAACTTAACCGTATCACATTTCAATTGTGTATGTTTGGCAATTATGATAACTATTTCCTTTTCATTATCATCCCTTTCCTTAAGCAACAGTTTACTTACATAGAGAACTATA